TGGGTTATTTATGGAAGAGGAAGGACTTTTGCATGGCATTCACGTGTAATAAGCATGAGTGCTGTGTGAGCACTTGGGACAAAACATGCAGGAAAGTTTTGTGTGCATTAGGTGTTCCAAATTTAAAAAATGTGTGCATGTGTCAAGTGAATGACCGAGACTGCATGCAACACCAACATGCATTGATTCACTCGATTAGAGTTTGTTGTTTCTCTATTTTGTCTTTGTTAATAAACGGATTAACTTCAATTAGAGAGCTTACAATCACACATAAGCATAAACAAAGCAACTAACTGCAAACTCTGTTTACAACAACTTTGTTATCTGAGTTTACTAATTGACCTTATCCACATTATACACTCATAATCTGTGTTTTGTTTGGAAGTGTGTATTTAAAAAGTGTGACTTCCAACAACAAACCTTTACTAATTAAAAAAAAGAAAAAAACAACAAACCTAACATATATTAAACTGATTGATATATATGGACACTAGTCTAGTATAGATCGGTCTTTAGTTCTATTTTCGTTTGAAATTTTTTTGGTCTAAAACGAAATTGAAATTCAGATTGGTTACAAATTATATTTTTGGTTTAGAATTTAGCTTTTCTTCCGTAATTTATATTTTTCTGAAATTTTCAAAAACACCTTTTATTTCTTAGTTTGTCTTTGCACCCAAACTCAAAAACATCGCATAAGAACTTGATCGCGGAAGTGCAACGCTAAACAAAGGGAGAACAATTGGACACACATCGACTATGACTAGATTAATAATTCATCTGAATTGGTAAGAAGAAAAACTAAAATCAAACAACTAAAATTTAACCACATTAGCGATATATAATTAGTAATTGGTTAAAAACAGAGGTACTTCGTGGAAAAAGAGCGTTCAATATGTGTCAACAATGTAAGTTGTTACCCCCAATTATAAGATTAAGTCGTAGTTATCAAACTGATTTTTTAGAGCACCAATATGAGACACGAGCAGGTGATGCAAAGATTTTAGTACCCAAGAAAAGTCTTTATTGTAGGGGTAGGGCATGTTACATTACACGTCAAGGTGTAATATTGCCACTAAGAGACTAACTCAAACACAGTACATATACATTTTTGTAACGATATAAACAAGAACACGCCACAAGAGTGAGACTTTTTTTATTATTATCATTAACAAACCACCATGTGTACGTACGTGCTCTTGTTAACCTCATGAACTTAGTAAGGAGACGCCTTAAACTGGCACGACCCAACAGGGATTTTGCAGATCTTAGGCAAGTTCTGAGCAGTTTGAAACATATGTTGCACCTGTTGTGGTCCATGCCTTCCTTGGAATCCAACTTGTTGAGCAGCCTGTCTCAGTGTAGGACACACACACATCTTTTCCACTTGTCGTAGCTCATTACAACACATTCTAAGAGCTGGTTGATGAGGACGAGGCATTGGGTTCTCATCGTCTTCAAGATCAACATGAAGAACGAGCTCAAAGTCATCTGCTTCGTATCCGATTCTTCCTTGTTGAGCTCGTTGCCGGATCCATTGCTTGCAACCTCTTAGCTGCTGGTGCTGCATAAACTCCCTCTGGCACTTACCTTGTTGCTGACCCCTTCTGTTGCTGATGCCATCGTCTTCCTCGAACTCAACTACTGTGCGGTAGATGGAAGCGTTGGCTAAGAGGACGCAGAGGGCAAGACTTACGAAAACGAGGATGAGCTTAGCCATGGTTTGATTTTGCTTCAGTTTTTGATGTTTCT